TCTTGCATGCTATCAATTTATAAAAAATGACATAAATACATCACATCTGTGGCTGCCTCGATATGACTGCACAAAGTTTGAATTTTGCATCAAATGGTGTGAATTAATTTGGAGCTTGAGGTTGTAGTTGTTTGTATCGATGAAAAAAGAGAGACACGGTGTAAGTGGAGCTCTGTGCGAATATATAAAGTTGTATTATATTGAAAGGAGACAAAGAATGGTAGCATCGTGGTTTGTGGGTAATAAATGTTGAAAAAAATACTGTGGGTCGTGTGAGGTTGTATTGAGTGTGCGAGCTTTGGTGATGCGAGGTTTCGGACAATAAATGGTGTAAATGATAAATGGTGTAAAATAGTAAATTCGATTAAATTGTATAAAAAATAGATCCACCAGTGGGACAGCTTGGCCGAGCGGTTAAGGCGATAGACTCGAAATCTATTGGGGTTACCCGCGTGAGTTCAAATCTCACAGCTGTCGGGAATATTTTTCACGTATTTTTTACCATTTCATGCCAACCGAGCACAATCAAAAGTCTTTTTCATCGTTTCGACTCGAATGTCAACCGAGCACAGGAAGCTGCGTTTCGTTGGCACCAACAACGTATTGTTTCCAGAGATGAGCCAGCGAAATTTTGCGATAACACGAAAGTATCAGTTTTGAGAGGATTCTCGATATTCTTCATCTTGGACTAAACAGTCGATCTATCACGTTTTTTCAAAGAAAATAGTTGCGAATAAAATATAGACCCCGTGAAACACTCCATTTCGTTGGCACAGGCAACATATATCGCTAGAGATGTGTTGTACAGCATGAGAGTATTTGGCACATACCTCATCCAAGTGGCACGACTCCATCTCTTGCATGCTATCAATTTATTAAAAAAATGACATAAAATACATCACATCTTGTGGCTGCCTCGATATGACTGCACAAAGTTGAATTTTGCATCAAATGGTGTGAATTAATTTGGAGCTTGAGGTTGTAGTTGTTTGTATCGATGAAAAAAGAGAGACACGTGTAAGTGGAAGCTCTGTGCGAATATATAAAGTTGTATTATATTGAATGGAGACAAAGAATGGTAGCATCGTGGTTTGTGGGTAATAAATGTTGAAAAAAATACTGTGGGTCGTGTGAGGTTGTATTGAGTGTGCGAGCTTTGGTGATGCGAGGTTTCGGACAATAAATGGTGTAAATGATAAATGGTGTAAAATAGTAAATTCGATTAAATTGTATAAAAAATAGATCCACCAGTGGGACAGCTTGGCCGAGCGGTTAAGGCGATAGACTCGAAATCTATTGGGGTTACCCGCGTGAGTTCAAATCTCACAGCTGTCGGGAATATTTTTCACGTATTTTTTACCATTTCATGCCAACCGAGCACA